AAAAAAAAAAAAAAAAAAGTAAAGCCCCGTTTATTGCAACATGGCCTTTTAATTCATCCTCCTGCTTCTTCAGCATCTATACTCAAAGGGGTATCGTGTATCCCCTTCCAAAGCCCAAATTTCTTCCCCATCTGTTATAATCTTTCACCAGCATACACGGGCTCTCCCTGCCAATGGTATCCAGTCAATTTCCCAACCCCAACCCCATCCACCAAACAACAGCTTCTTTCCTTCCTGGGTGTGGTTGCCACTTTCACCTCTGGATACCAGGTTTCGCTATTCTAACTAAGCCATTGTATCAACTCACTAAAGAAAACGTATCCAACCCTACTAATCCCAAATCCTTTCCTCAATCCTCTTTAGCTTCTTAAAACATAGCTCTAAAAACGGCTCCCTCCCTAGCTCTCCCCAACCTGTCTCAACACTTTTTCATTATATACTGCTAAAATCCAGGGCTGTGTGGTTGGAATTCTCATATAGGAGCCAGGCCCATGGCCTGTAGCCTTTTTATCCAAACAACTTAACCTCACAGTCCTGGGCTGGCCCTCAGGACAACGCACAGCAGGAGCTGCCGCCCTAATACTCTTAAAATCCCTCAAAATCACAGGCTATGCCCCATTTACCGTCCAGCCCTCACAGCCTCCAAAGTTTTCTCTTCACAACTCACACTTACTTTCAGCCCCTCCCCTTCTCCACCTTTATGCAGTCGCCCCTGCTACTTAAACCACACCTCAAAAAGTCTGTTTCTATTACTGTCTGTCTAACAGTGCTCAGATTCACTGTATTCATTTACTTTTACATACCCTGCTTTTAAGTTGCTGGTTTACATGTTTCCTCCAGGCAATTACAGCTAATATTTCACTCTTAATCTGGCTCCCGTTCTCTGCTCAAACCCAATCTTGTTCATAAAAGTGGTTGTTTATAAATACCACACACTTCCTGATACACCATAAAAACAAAAGCTCTCCCTCCACACAGTTAACCTACCAAGCTCCGCTACAATGTTTAGCAGCAGCAGCCCTTGCTGGTTCCCTTGGCATTCGGGTCCAAAGCTCCAATAAAATGTTGTTTTATGTCAACCAGACTGCCTCATGTATAATGCCATCAATAAATTAAAAGACAGAGCCCAAAAGCTCACTAATCTGGCAAATAGTTATTCTAAACCTGGCTAAACTGGCTAGACACTGTCCAAATGGAAGTTGTGGCTTCTTCCAATCCTTAGTCCTCTAATACTTTTTCTCCTTATCTTATTTAAACCCTGTTTTTCCAATTAATCTCTCAATTCCTACAAAATCGTATACAAGCAATAACCAATCAGTCAATACGACAATTGCTCCTTCCATCAACCCCGTAATGTTACCCGTTTCCCCAAAATCTCCCAGCAGTCTAAATTCTTTCCCATTTTTAGTTTTCCACCCCGCCCCCAATCCTGCTCGAAGAAGCTTTGAGAAACGTCGCCCCCACCCCCTAAAACCTGTTACCACCCCCTCTTCTCTAATTCTTTCTCTCTATATATAAAGAGACAGGTGTGTCAGGTCTGCATATACAAGTCTGGAGCCTGAAAGTCTGAAGTCCTGCTTGCCTCGGCTGAAGTCTCCCACCCACTGCCTGTGTTTTGCCATTGTCCCTAATTGCCCAGCAGAGCTTCTCCAGACAAGCCCCTCACCCAACCCTGCCATCTTAACTGTTCTTATGGTAATGTAAATACCTCTCACCCAACCCTGCCATTGTAACTGAACTTGTGGTCATGTATACTCCTTGCCCCTACCCCCCACCACTGTAACTAAACTTACTCTGCAACCCCTCTACCCCCCAAAAAACTACCCAAACCTATAAAACCAACTCGCATCCCACTGCCCTTTGCTAATGCCCTTTTGGCCTTGGTCCACCTGCACCCAGGTGAATAAACAGCCATGTTGCTCACACAAAGCCTGTTTGGAAGATCTCTTCAAAGCGCGCATTTTTCAACACCTACCAATTTTCTGTGTCTTTGTTGCATAGTTACTGTGGGGTGGAAACTGGTAGCCATTTTTATTTTTGCAATTTAATTGCCTTCTTCCAAATAGATAAAATCACTTCCTTTGTAGTAATTAAGCAGAATTTCAAAAACACATTTCTATGACAAATATTCCTGAGGACATAGGTATCCATCCCAAGGTTCCCTGTAACCTAATGTCTTTCCTGACACATAGAGATCATCAAGCTGTGTAACAAGTGTTCCAGCCACTCCAGGTGAAGACACCACCCAGGGCCATCAAGGATCTTCCCTGTTTCCACTAAACAGAGCAGGACAAAAGTTCTGTGATCCCCAATAGGTAGGGACTATGCCCCAAGTCAGCAGGAAGCAGACACAGAAGAATGACTGTTGGTCCTTCCGCTTCCCATAAAGATTTATGGGGATCATGGCTTGCAGAGGGGAGATGAGACAGGAGAATAGGGCACGAGGCAGGCAGGGAACATAAGGCCAATCCAGGCTGACTTCCTAGAGCTGAATTGAATGAGAGCACCTCAGCAACGACAGGAATGTGAATGGCTTTGTAACTTCACTTCATCCTCTCCATTACTGCCATTTCTACTTTGTAACTTCACTTTCATCCTCTCCATTTACTTAGATCACACACCAAGTAATATCCTCTCCATCTACAGTAGGGAGCATTTTGAGTAAATGATTCTGTGACTTCATTCTCTTCATTTACATGGAATACTTATGAAGTAACCAATGGGAAACCTCTAGAGTACTGAAACCCCAGAAAATTCTGTAAGCAGGGCTCTTGAGCCTCCGTACTTAGTCTGCTCCCACCCTGTGGTGTGTACTTTGTTCCCAATAAATCCCTGCTTTTGCTTTCCTCACTTCATTTGTGTGTTTTGTCCAATTCTTTGTTCGAGATGCCAAGAACCTGGACACCTACTGGTAACACTACCAATTTTCAATTTACTTCAAGGCCACAGGTATTTTCTGAACATTTAGCCTTTACCAGTCTCGCAGGGTCCGAAACTCCTGTTGAAGATCTTGTGGGCTAATGGAGGGGACAGGCATGTGAGCATGCAAATTATGTAACAGTGTGCCGAGTACAGCAGTAGAGATGTATTCTAGTATCAGAGGTCACACAGAGGAGGGGTGACTGATTAAGCATGCCAGGAGACAGGGTGGGAAATGTCCGAGGTGGGTTTGAGGTGAGAACAGTAGGATTCAACAGAATGATGAGGGAACATGGAAGTATGAAAGTGTTCAGGAAATCCTAAGTTGTTGAGAACTTTCAACAGATCTTACCTTACCCAGCAAGAGAGAGCCACAGGCAACCTTTTATGATTTATTTCTGATTTGCAGTGCACTGTCCCAAATTCCTCCTTGCCATTATTCAATGAGTCTACTTTTAGCTAGTTTTGATCTTGGTTCAAAAACAGATACATATTTTAGGTTGTTGTTCTTCATTTATACTTGAATGGGAATAAATTCTATGTGCTTTATCAGTAGCTTTAGATATTTAAAGAGCAAGACAGTCTGAATGCCCAGCGAGAAAGCCTGGTTATGTTCAGCTCTCCTGACTCCCTCACTCCCATTAGTGTCAAACCCTTGGCTCAATAAGGCCAGCTACTAACCATTTACGTACTTGAAAATTTACAAATATCCTGGTTTTAATGTTAACTTTGCTGTATTTGTTGTCAATTACATCTTATTTTTCTAGAATAATTAGTAAAAACTTAAGGCAA